TAGACCAGAATCCAACTCCGGATCCTTCAGTATGAAGGCTGAGGCTCTATCCACTGAGCCAAACCGGCTAGGGCTCAGTTTCCTCATTTGTAAAAAGGATATGATAATGATTGTGCCTGTTTTCAGGATTGTTGTGGGAGTAAATGAGATAAGGGGTGGATGGTGCTCAGCACAGGACTGGTCAGTCAGAAGTTAGTAACTGTTTGTGAGAATTTTCTTATTTTTTGTGTCTTGTAGGCCATTTCCTCTGAATGGAGGGCATCAAGGGCTCTTCTGTGTGTGCCCAGGATGGCTCTGCCCGCTCAGCCTGACCCTCAGGTTTCTTGGAGCAGCTCCTGTTCCCTGCAGACCTGGACCTAGGGCAGTTGGGGCCTGTCACCCAGTTCTTGGGCTCTCCCTAACCTCCTGGACCTGATGCTTTCCTCCACCCTGGGCTCCAGGGTGCCAGTTCCTGCTCTGGGCCAGGAGCCGGATGAAATACTCATCCTGGGATGAAAGGCTGCCGGGCCTGGGCTGGGCTAGTAAACCGCCCCACCCTCACTGGGAGGACCTCTGGGCACCCGTGTAAACTGAGTCATGGGGGGCGCGGGGGTGATTCATGCAGCCTATGAGTGGGAGTCAGATGGGACAGAATTTGCCTGCTGGGGGCCCTTGGCCATGCCTCATGGAGTCTCAGCTACCCTCCAACACCCAGCAGGCCTCAGCAGGGCCTGGAGGCTGAACTCTGAGTGTGCATGTGTGCGCCTGGGTGTGCGTGCCTGAGAGCGTGTGGCGTCTACGGGGAGGGGCAGACAGGAAAGGGAGGTTCTGGGAGGACAGGATTAAGTTTGGAAGGGAGTCAAAGCCCTAGAGAAGAAAATTTTGGCGGGAATGCTTCGCTGCCCTCTCCTGGCCTCTGCAGGTTCAGCCGATTCCTGGCCTCCCCCAGGCCCTCCCCAGGAGCCAGCTTTCTCCCTGTAGCTTGGGAGGAGCTAGGACCCTGGGTCTTCTAGAGTTCCAGGGGCCAGAGCTGCTCAGGATGGGGACAGAGCTCCCTGCCACCGTGGTGTGTACAAGCGCTCTTGGGGGCTGTGCAGTTGGCTGGAGCATTTCTAGCCTTGACCATGGCCAAGTTACTTAACCTCTTTCTGCTGCAGTTTCCTTCTCAGTAATAGGAGGGCTGTGAGGACCAAAATGAGAACCAACTGCTTAGAGTAGTGCCTGGTGCAGAGGAGGTTTGTGTATGTATTTGCTCTTACTATCTGAGCCTCCGTTTTCTCATCTGAAAAATGGGTGAGGGCCCTTGTCCAGTCATCACTTTGGTTCCCGTCTCTGGTGTTATCCCTAGGGAAGCTGCCCCTATGCCCCGCCACCCTTCCCAGCTCTGTCCCTCTGCCTGGCCTGGGTGTTTTCATGCCCTGTCATCCAGGAAAGATGGGCTGGATGGGTTTCTGGGCTGGGTGCCCTCAGGTTACCCCTCAGTGTATGGGGGATGCATGTCAGAGAAGTGGGGAGTTTCCCTTCTTGGATGAATCAGCTGTGTGACCCAAGCCTCCGTCCCTGCCAGGGCCCCTCCCAGCAGGCAGAAGTGGGGTGCAATAGCCCTGCTGGGAAAATCCCTAAAACCTTGCCAAAGCTCTGGCTGAATAAAGCTTTCTCCTGAGTCAGTGCCCAGTCCCAGCTGGGATGGGGAGTCAGAGATTCTCCCCATTCCCTGGCCAGCCCCGTTTGACCCTCCTCCCTGGGGCTTGGGGGTTCGCAGTGCCTGCGAGAGAAGGTGGAGTGTGTTTGGGGGGGGGGTTCCTCTCTCTGGCCTCAGTCATCCTTCCTGTGGTTTTATAAAAGGGAGCAGAGCACAGGGGCTTGTCCAAATTCACCCAGCCTATCCCACCCTGGACTGGGCTACTTCCTTACCCCCATGTTAGAAGGGGTCGGCCAAACAGGACAGAATGCTGCCAGCTTGAGGGGGTGGGTCATGGGGAGCCCTTGGCCTGGCAGGACAGCAATCTCCATAGGCCTGGGAGATCCTTCCTGCCAAGGTCGGCTTAGTCAGTGTATTCTGTGGGCCTCAGTTTTACCAGTAAAAAATGGGAATCTTGGCCCTAACTGGTTTGGCTCAGTGGACAGAGCATTGTCCTGAGGACTGAAAGGTCCCAGGTTCGATTCTGGTCAAGGGCACATGCCTGGGTTGTGGACTCAATCCCGTGTGGGGTGTGCAGGAGGCAGCCAATCAATGATTCACTCTCATCATTGATGTTTCTCTCTCTCCCCACTCCCTTCCTCTCTGAAATATATAATCTTGGTCTTAGCCCAGCCTCCCTTTCAGGTGGTTCTGAGGACCCAACCTGTGTGCTTTACAAATTAGAGCCAAGTCTTTGCTGGGCTCAACAATGCATCAGGTACTCTGGAGCTGGCAGAGTACCTGATTCATACCTTGGCTCTGCCATCTATGGCTCTGTAACCTTGAACCAATTACTGAACCTCTTTGGCCTCAGTTTTCTCTTCTGCAAAATAGCAGTAACAATAGAGTCAGGTGAGGCTTAGATGAGAGAATGCATGTAAACTCAGTACAGTGCCTGGTTCATGTTATGAAGAGAATGAGGAAACTGGTGCAGACACAGAAGTAACTTTCATTCAATCACTCATTTATTCAATAATGTTGCTTTGGCACTTTGGGAGGCCAAGTTCCTGTGCTGGACAGAGGCCACTCTGAGGGATAAAGCGCAGCCACTGTTTTTGAGGGGCCCCAGACACACAGAGCCCCAGGTGGGGTGTGTGTGTGTGTGTTATGGGAGCCTGAAGTGCAGATGGATGGGGGAGGAGAAACCTCTGAGAAAATGAGCTGTGGATCTGAGAAGGGGAGTCAGCCAGGAAAGCAGGCGAGGGTCAGGTCCACCAAGCAGAGGTGACAGCTAGTAAGCAAAAACACAAAAGTGAGGCCAGAATGTGTGCAAGAAAACCAGAGGCAGCTCATGATTCTGGAACAAGAGGGTGAAGCAGCGAGTGGAGATGGGGCTAGAGCGACTGGCAGGGGCTGGATTTGGGCTGTACACTCATCCATTCAGTTAACCCATTGTACACCATAAGCGTCTGTAGATGCAGGCAGCGGACCTTCCCCACAAGCCACACGTGTCTATAAACAAATTGTTTTCCCTAAGTGGCAGCCCTGACCAACTTTAAAATCATTTTTCATAATTTTCCGCTGAAAATATTCAAGAACACCCAAATTGTGAGTAACATATTTATTTTTATAATATTCATTGCAAATTGATTTTTTAAATTAAATTCAAAATATCATGGTGCGTGGGGATGGTTTCTGTTTGGACACGTGGTAGTTAACTGGTTAATACTGTACGGAGAGGTTGTTCCAGCCAAGCACTGTGCTAGGCTCTGGGGATAGGGCTGAGATGTAGACATTGCTCCTGCCTTCACTGAGCCCACATCCTGGCCATGTGGCGTAGGGGTCAGCGGGAGATAGACAGCAATCAGGTGATTACATAAGTAACCTCTCCATCCTTGCTGCACGACAGGCATTCAGGCAGCAGGAACAGCCGGAGGCTCAGGGCTGTGTGCCAGGGGGGGAAAGAAGTGCCAGTTGGCTCCAGTGGGTTGAGCACGGGCAGAAAGAGGCACCTAAGGGAAGCTCGGTGGTGGTGGTGGGGATTAGGTTGTGGCTGGCTCAGGAGTGTAGACTCCATATTACAGGCTGGGGAGCCACAGAAGGGCTTTGAGTAGGAGAGGGACACAGGTAGCTCTGCAGGAGAGCTGGCTGTGGCGGGACAGAGGGAGAAGTGGGAGGGGACAGGGCAGAGGCGGCAAGTTGCAATGGTTTGGGAGGAATGGGCTAAAGCAGGACCATGAGGGTGGAAAAGGGATGAGGGTGTGAAATCCTTAGTTATAGGAGAACCAGGTGGTGTTGATACTACTTGTCATCTTTGTGGGACCCCTGAGGGCCTGGCCAGGATTCCCACAAGCCTTGGCCCACGTTGGTCAAGTGCAAAGCACTGATGGTCTGAGAGGCAGGGCACCAGGCTCCAATATGTAGACCACCCAGCTCTGGGGACTTCCCAGGGCTGGGCTGAGGGGGGACTCAGACCTGGGGAAGCTGGGGTGGGGAGGAAGCTGGGGAGGGGGCCAAGGCAGCATCTCATGACTCATCCACTTCCACCCAGTCAGCCCAGTGGCATCTCCGCTCCCCTGCTCCAAATTCCAATTTGGTGAGGATGCTGGAGGCTGAGTCAGCTCCGGCACGAGAGCAGCATCCCAAGGGGTTTGCTGCTAGACACCCTGGCCTCCAACCAAAGCCAAGGCCAGGCGTGGGGTTGGGAGGGTGCAGAGCCAGGCTCAGCCACAACAGCCTCAGCCGAGTGTGTAGCCCAGCAGGCTCATGTGAGTGAGTGTGAAGAGCTCACGGTGGGTGAGGCCAGGGACCGCACTGACTGAGTAAGTAGGGACTTAGCTCTGCCTGGCTCACTGCATGGCCTGAGGGCACTCCCTTGCCCTCTCGGCTTCAATTTCCTTGACCAGATTAGTGCCAACATCTCCTTCTAAACAGGGTGTGAGTGAAATAATGCACATAGAAGTGCTCTGCAAACTGTCCCGTGCCCCCGGGACGGTCAGGGTGGTGGAGAGCTGAGGATAAATGGGTTTCCAGAGCCGCGTAGGGCTGTGCAGGTTGTTCTCTGCACAAGGATGTCCGGCCCATCCTCTGTTCACCAGACCATGTGATCTGACCTAGAGCTGCCAGGACCAAGAGGGTACTTTCCCTCACAGGCATACACACACCACCCGTGGATTTATGGGAAATCACTGAGACACGGATTCTGATTCTTGGGATGGAGGGAAGCAGGGCTGGCTAGACAGTCTCTCGGAGAGGTTCCCAGCCTTGGCGGCCAGGAGTATCTTATTACTGGGGGCAGTTAGGACGGCCTAGTCAGGGCAGAGGGCCAGTCTTTCCTGGCCCTGCCTGGTCCAGCAACCACAGCAGGTAACCACTAACGGTATTTTAAAAAACACTCAAGACACAGACCCAAGCTGGGTTTTATTGAAATGCCAAGAGCAGGCACATGACAAGGTAGTGAAGGAAGGGGGGAAGGTGGTGCAGACTGTGAGGCGACAGGGAGGGTAGACCCCATGTCCATGGCCCTGGCATCCCCTTTCTTTGCCAGGGGCTGAGTGGGTACAATCAACCCCCCCTCCCTCCAAAAAATGGCATGCTCGGACCTGCAGGGCCTCTGCTCCAAGGAGGGACTGGAAGCACTAAGTTTTCTCTCTTGTGAGGGAGAAAGATAAGACGGGGAGGGATGCAGGAAGGGAAGGTAAAACCAAGGATGAGGATGGCCAAGAAGGGTTCTCCTCCTGGGGGTCTGGCCCCAGATTGTGGTCCTGGATGGCAGAGGGGAGCAGCAGCAGAGAGTCTGAGGGTCCGGCCCTCAGAGAGCCAGAGCCTCCAGCTGATGGGGACTTAATCAGCCCTGAACAGAGGGCAGAAGTTCAAAGGGATTGAAGATGCAGGCAGTTCCAGCGTGACCTAGTCCTCAGAGCTGGGGGACTTGGCCCCCTTGGGACAGGGAGGAGGAAGACAGGAGGACGCATCCCTAGCAGGGGGCGCAGAGGGTGGTCTTCCACAGGCGGCCCCACTAAGTCAGTTCCACATTATTGGCGCGGTCCAGCACACGGGAGCCTCGCGCACTGCCCCCCAGCTGGAAACGGCTCTCATACAGAGTGGGGCAGAGGTGCCAACGGTTGGCCCGGTAGATGCCCAGATAGGTGTAGACGTCAGGCTTGTAGGTGAGCAGGCACTTAACGCCTGCCGCACGGATAGCTGCATCTGCCTCCAGCACACCCAAGCGGTCCGTGAAGTCGTCCGTGTAAACACAGATGACCTGGCGCCCACCCTCCTTGGCCCGTGGGCTCACTTTGGCCACCTGAAGCCGGCCCTCGACCACGGCCCGAGCAATGCCAGCCCAGGCGTGGTCCAGCTTGAAGCCAGGTGTCAGGTGCATCAGCCACTTGCCCGAGAGCACGTGGTGGGTGATGGCCAGCTGGCGAAGGGTACCGGGGGTGATGGGCCGCCCACTGGTCTGCAGAGCCTCCCAGGCTGCTTGCAGGCCCTGCACGTCGCCAGAGTTGGGGATGTAGCCCTGCCCATAGGCTGCAATCCAGCCCACTGGCTCAGAGTTGGGTGAGCTGGGGTCCCCATAGCGGGTAACTTGGGACGGTGGGTACTTGGCTAACCAGGCATCCAGCTCGGAGGCAGGTGTGGTACGGGCATCAAACACCAACCAGGGGTCCATGTCAGCCGCCATGGCCTCGGCAGCCAGGTGCTCAGCAGTGAAGCCATCCTCACGGCCGCCTGGAGAGTCCTCCTCCTCCAGCTCCTCCCCTGGCTCTACCCTGGTGTGAGGAACCGAATTAGGGCTCATAACGGATCTGCAGCTCGCTGGGCCCTCGTGGGTGCCAGGCACCGCACCAAACACCGTGTGGCCTTGGGCAAGGCTTAGTGTCCCTGGGCCTTAGTTGCCTCATGTTTACAATGGATAACAACCGTTCCCGGCCCACAGTGCTGCTGACGATTACATGCCTGCGGTGGAAGGCGCGCTACCTAAGCGCTGGGGCTCGTGTTACCACTGCTCTCCCTGACTTCCAGGAAAACGAAGCTCACAGAGAAGAGACTTACCCAAGGTCACACCTGTAGTGAGCGACTGGGCCGAAATGTGAATTCTGGTGGGGGAGCAAGGGCCCAGCTGCACCTCCGGGCCCCGCCGGTGACGGGCAGGCGTCCGGAACGCGGGCATTAATGCGGGGCGGCGAAGGAGCCCTCGTTCGCGCAGCACCGAGGCGGGCCCTGCGGGGCCAGGCCTCCCGGAGGGCGTTATCCGTCCACTTAAAATCGGACACTGAGGCCCAGGTAGGGCAATGACGGGTCCGAGGCCCATGGGGCGATGCCGGGCTCGAACTCCCGCTTTTTAGAGCCCACGGGAAGGCCAGCTAGCGGCCCGCCGCGCCCCCCGCCCCCCACATTGGCGTGCACGGCCAGGGGTAGGCCCCGGCCCGGTTTCACCCTCACTCCACTCCTGCTCCCCGCCTGATTGTTTTGGACATAAAAAAAAAATCATCTAGTGTTTCCAACGACCCAACAGAATGAGGAAGGAGGGGGCTGATCAGTATATTAGTGAGTGGTGAGAGACCCCTCGCATACCATCTAATCTTTTTCGCGACCGCGCCTAGAGTGTGAGGAGGGAGAGAAAATTTGACTTGATTTCTTTATGTGTGTTGTCCTCCCCCCTCTCTACACGGGGGACCTGACCCACACCCCA